ATGATTAACAAATAGCTAAGAGAGAGATCAGAACCTCAGCGCAGTGAGCTATGTCCTCTGACTCAGTGTTGCCTCAGAAATGCGAGAAGATAATAAAAGATAGGTTTCTTTCAATTTTGTTGGGTAAAAAGAAGGTTTCTTTCAACAGTATATTTTTGTTGCTTATAATTTTGACTAATTTTCGTTTTAATCCTTGTAGTTTCAAATATAGCAAAAGCACTCTCATTCCTACGGTTTATATGGCAATTGAATCCATCTCTTTTTTCTTTATTTATTTATTTATAATAAACTTGAAAATCAATCATTACATTAGGGACTACGATGGACACTACAAACTAACCATGATTTTTTTTTTTTTTTTTTTTTTTTTTTTTTTTTTTTTTAAAAATATTCTAAATTATTCTATGTACAATAAGAGGAATCGAGGTTAAAAAGATAAGCACACTACATTAGTTTATAGGCCTAACTCAGGTGCACACCAACACATAATTATTGAATCAACATCTTAGAGAAAAAAAACACTTCATCACAAGAAAAATGTGAATTTCTAAGTCTTTGAGGTTACTTGACAATGTTTTGGTGATTTCAATTTCACCACCAAACTCCTTAACAAAGGAGAGTGTTAAAGAAAATATTTAGTAAACACTTTTATTGGAGAAATACTTAGTTCTAATTCCTCTAAACTCTCAACACTTTCGCATTCCAACTCATTCTCAATTCGATTTCTTCACAAAATTGCAAATGGTAACAAAGTGGAGATTGATATAAAAATATTGCTCATTAACTATATTAATTGATCTCAAAAGAATAAAGACCCACTTGAGTGGCTCAATTAGCCCACTAGTGGTCTAGTGGTCAAGTGGTCTAGTGGTTAGGTTCAATTCCTTTAAGAATAATAATTTTTAGGAAAAAGCTGTGAGGCTAGTTGTTGAATAAACAAATATTGATGGTTTGAAGAATTTGACAGATTGACATGGACTCTATCCTCTCTGTCTCTCTCGTACCATTAAGTGAGTGGGAGAATCCTCCCTTTCACTCTCATATTGTTAGGGGAGAGAGAGGGAGATAGAGAGAGGAGAGATGATGAGTTTCAGAATCAGTGGGGGAAGCTAGCCGCCATCTCCTCATACCAATTTGCTGCTTCTTGCTTCAGCTGCTGTCTCTCATCACCTCAGAAATCTACTGCAAACCCATTCTAAGGTACCTCTCTCTCTCTCTCTCTCTCTCCTCTCTCTCTCTCTCTCAGTTGGCTTGAATGATAAACTGCTAGTTTTCTTCTTTGAAAATGTTGATAAATTAAGGTTGTTTTATTGTAATTCAAAGAGGCATTCAAAAGCAATGTTTCCCTGTTTGCATAGTAAAAACGCACTGGTTAAAATTTATTTATTTCTTTATGATTATATATATATATATATATATAGGGAGAACAGTTGTCTTAAATTATTGAATTTTATGGAAACCCCATGAACCAACCCATAAGCCTCAACTAGATCACATTGCATGTGCAATCCACGTGTCCTATATACAAAATGTCACTTGGCATTATGTACCTAACTTGTATATAATAAAACCAAAGTTATTATCTTGATATGATTTTGTTGATAATGACGTCAACTTATTTATATCCATTCCAATATGACGTCAGTATAACTCAGGTCAGTTTGCACATCATCAAAATGCTCAGCCATTCATCACCTTTGACTGATTCAACTTGCACATAGGCCTTCATCGTCCAGAGTGGTTGTTAGCCACAATTTTTGAAAATTCCACAATAGTTTTTTTTCGTCTTTCGAAAAATCCAGGTCTACTTTTCTGAAATTTATTGTGTCCCCACGAAAAAACGTAGTACGGTCGTCGGATTAGAGATGTAGGCCTCCTCTCATACAGAAATTGTCAAGGAAATAAATTTCCGACTATGTTATCTTCACTTGCACCCGAGGCTTTTAGGTTCGATTCTCCCCTTTCTCAATATCGCTTGTTTAAAAAAAATAAAAAAGGTTTTTAGAATATTATAAGAAGTTTAGTTAAATTTCTATAGCTTTATTGTTAGTCCACTACATCCCTTTGATATTGTGAACAAGAAAAGGTATTTAAATTGGAAAAGCCATGAGATGAGTATCTAGAATTGTAGATAAATATTTCAAACTCTAGCTCAATATAATAATAACAATATTCAATGTGGATGTCACTTGTCAACGCATTTAGCCCACTGCAGGTAGGAAATTAGAAAAGCGGCAGCCATCTGATCATGCAACTTGGAAAGGAAAATAATAATAATACTAAGTGCAAAACCCCTGAAGTCAACGTAGTCTAATGCTGAGGTTGTCGACTCTTAATCTAACTGGAACTTTCTATTAAATATGTGGTCAATAATTCATCTATGCACATGCTTCTGATTGTTGAAAATGGAGTGTTCTCTACTGTGTGTTAGAACAAGTACTTTAGGAACCATTGGCAATTCAAATTTTGTGCCGTCGAAGAGCCAGCGCTTGTGTACAATAACATGATCGATTTGAGGAGGATGTTGAAGCAACCATGGCATCTTTCAGTGTCCGTTGCCTTCTTTTCCAGCCTATGCTTCTGGTTTCAGGTGTCCATGGCTCAAAATGCTACTACCGATCCATCTGAAGGTACACTAGCCATGCTTTCAAAAGTTGTACATACATATTTCTAAGCATCTTTTAAATACAGAGTATATATATGTTGTTTTTTTTCTTCCTTTTTGCGATTTCTGGACAGTCTAGTAGCATAAGTACGTTATGTGATGTGTACACAACGATTGAATTGAGAGTGCAGTGAGGGCGTTGAACTCAATATTCGAGCAATGGGACGCGCAAGCCGTGCCTGGGCTGTGGAATATCAGTGGAGAGCCATGCAGTGGATCTGCAATTAATGGAACCGAGTTTGAGGATCCAGCTAATAATCCAGCCATCATTTGTGATTGTACTTATGAAAAAAGTACTACCTGCCACATCACCAAACTGTATGTTACCCTCCTCTATCTCTCTCTCTCTCTCTCTCTCCATACTCTTTAGTCTTGTGTTGTTGACTGTGGCAACTCCATTAATATGTGTTAGAAAACTAAGCAGATGATGCCTAATATATCAATTGTAATATTAAGTGCCTAACTGCTCAATCTTTTTTCTTTCCAGGAGAGTTTATGCTCTGAACAAACAAGGGGTGTTTCCACAAGAATTTGTGGCTTTAAGATATCTGACCGTTTTGTATGAAGTTTTTCCAACCCCATTCTCTGTTGTTGGGTTTACCAAATTAACATTTGCATATAAAGAAAAGACACATGTTTCTTAGTCTACTGTTCAAAATTGGCACGAATATTTTTTATACTCAGAGATTAATCGTTGGTCATTGCACTTTGTTTTAATTCTTGTAGGAAAATTGATCAGAATTATTTCACCGGTCCCCTACCAGCATTCATCGGCAATATGTCTGCATTGACATCATTGTAAGTAGTGAGAGAACATTTGTTTAAGTTGTAATACAAATTCCCATGTACAATTTCTATAATTGACTTAGAACCCGTTTGATAACTATTTCAGTTTTCGGTTTTTAGTTTTCAATTTTCAATTTTAAGTTTTCATATTTTAGTTTTTCATTTTTCAAAAAGTGAAAAGTGAAAACTTGTTTGGTAATTAAATTCAATTTTCACAAAAAGTGAAAACTGAAAACTGAACACAAGATGTTTGGTAACTGAATTAAATTTTCAGTTTTCAGTTTTATGTGGAACTTGGAAATGGAAGTTTTTGGGGTCCAATTGTGAATTTTTTTGGAATTATGATGAATTTTGGACATGAAATATAGACCTCCCAAGTGAGTTATACCATATGGTAAAAGCAGCACATAGTTTCTGTTTTTATCCTAAATTATAAATTTCTTTAATTGATATTTCCATTCAGGTCAATTGCCTCTCTGGGCCCCATCCCCAAGGAGCTTGGAAACCTTACGGAGCTAACTACGCTGTAAGCAATGAAACATAAGAAAGCACAATTAAATTTTGTGTTTTAGACACCTATATCATTTAATTCTATACCTCTTCAACATGACTTGTTGCAGGTCCTTTGGATCAAATAATTTCTCCGGAACACTCCCTCCAGAACTTGGTAACTTAGTCAAGCTCGAGCAATGGTGAGTGCTTCATTTACTCATCGAATTTGAATCACATGTTGCAATGTGTTTTTACCGGTTTATTTGTTAATTCATTATCGATGAGCAAGGAGTGCGTTTATCATATGAAATTGGTACTAATCAGTTTATGATTTTCACAGGTACATGGACAGCTGTGGACTTAGTGGTGAAATTCCTTCAACATTTGCTAAGCTCATCAACATGCAAATCCTGTAAGAATGGCCCTTAAGTGGTGTTTTAAGTTTTTTTTTGTTTATTCAGCACTTTGAGATTGCTATTCTGGGATGAGCTTACTATGAGTCAACTTTTTGAATTTTAGCTGGGCATCAGACATTGCTTTCTCAGGAAAGATACCTGCTTTCATTGGGAATTGGACAAAACTAACTGTTTTGTAAGTATGGAAAACTTTTAACCTTCTGCAGTTTATGAAAGCAGACCTGCATGGCTGAGAGATGGGTCTTTTATTCACAAGCATCTCAAATGTTTTTGTAGGAGATTTCAAGGGAACTCTTTTGAAGGCCCAATACCAACCAGTTTTTCTCAACTGACTTCATTGAACACTCTGTAAGGGCAAATGCTTCATACGTTTTACTCTCTCTCTCTCTCTCTCTCTCTCTCTCTCCTCTCTCTCTCACTATACTAGCATCACTTATGTTTGTGTATGATAATGCAGGCGAATCAGTGATATATCTAATGTGAGCTCCTCTCTTGATTTTATAAGAAATTTGAAGAACTTGACCGATTTGTAAGTTGACATTCTCATCCCTTCAAATATCGTGATATAACTTCTTTTTTCCTTGTAAAATTTGCAATCTTACTCATTTACCTGTGCACTAAATTTTTTGGTGGTGGAACAGAGTTCTACGGAATGCATTAATCAATGGTAGCATTCCTTCTGATATTGGAGAATATGAAGGTTTACAGATACTGTACGTTCCAGCAGATATATAAGTCCAAATCCCAAATAATTTTCTTTCATTCTAATTGCTTTCTAACCTTATCATTCATGTTGCAGGAATCTGGGTTTCAACAATTTAACAGGCCAACTCCCAAGTTCTTTGTTCAACATGAGTTCTCTTACATACTTGTAATAAGCCCTGCCTTCTTTATTACATTTTTCTGTACTCATGCCATTGGATTTCCTTCTCAGAAACTTAGTCATTCATCTGACCTTTTTCTTGTTTCTTTCTTCTTTTTTCCTTCTTTTTCTGGGTGCCTTAATGGCCAGGTTTCTTGGAAACAATAGCCTGTCTGGACCTCTTCCAAGCCAAAAGAGCAATCGACTTCAGACTATGTAAGTCCTCATGTCATAAAAGTATGTTATATAGAATGTACCGGCAATGAAACAAGTACTCTGTGTGCGTCTGTGTGCATATGGGTGTATCTGTGTACGTGAGATAAAATCTCAATCAGGGCCTCATCCATTGATGAAAACATTCTAATCATTTTTCTTGTTCAACTTATTTTGAACTTTCATACACTTTGTGCCCTCTCATTCTGTATTGTTATGTGCAGTGATTTGTCTTACAACTATTTATCAGGAAGCTTTCCCCAATGGGTAACCACAATATCACAACTGTATGTCTCCTTTTTATCTTTCACCTTCATGTTTACAGTTTAAATTACCAGAATTGGTTTGGGCAAAACATATCACCAGGATTTGTTCTTACAGTGCTTCTTTCCTCGAATATTCTGCATATATAATACCCATATGAATGAAATTCAATAAGGCTTAATATCACAAAACGTCCCTAAGGTTTAAGGAACTATCAGATTGCATCCTTAATGTTTTTTTTTGTGTCATTCGTGGTCCCCAAGATTAGTATGTGTGCTCACAAATAATGTGTGTGACAGTTTGAAGTGATGGATTTGAAGTACTACTATGTTTAGATATTGAACATGAAATCTTTATTTAATAAACATGTATAGCTTCATATGTTGATTGATTAATGATTTTATGCAGGAACTTAGTGGTCAACAACTTCACATTTGGGAGTTCAAACATAACGTGAGTTGAAGTTTCTCTTACCCTTAGTTAGACAGACAATACTATCACTACTAGCTATTACACTCCTTCAGTTTAATGGATTCTGCCACTACATTTTTCCATCTGGATAAATAATAATTGTTCCTTTCTTTGCAGTCTTCCTGGATTGAATTGCCTCCAGAGGAATTTTCCATGCAATCGAGATACCCCTCGATGTAATCTTCTTTTGTTTCACTAGCCATTTATTAATGCATTATCATGTTACAGGAATAGGCATTGCTTCTCTAACTATGTATACATATTGCAAGAGTGTTTTGATACATCTAGTAAGCATATCTGGTTATAAATATGTGATTCAGAAACATCAGTATGAGTCTTGTCTTGAGTTTGAAGTTTTTATCACTAATCATAGCTTGTGCTACTATATTCAATTTTACAGATGCAAACTTCTCAATCAAGTGCGGAGGACCACAAATGAGAGGAAGTGATGGCATATTGTATGAAGCTGAAGACTCAGCTCTTGGCCCAGCAACATTTAATGTAACCAGTACACAGAAATGGGCTGTTAGCAATGTGGGTTTGTTTTCTGACAGAAAGAATCCATCATTTGTGGAAACCACCCTTACGCAAGTCACCGGTACAGATGTGACCCCAGAGCTTTTCCAGACTTCAAGACTGTCCCCAGGTTCACTGAGATACTATGGCCTGGGTCTTGAGAATGGGCCTTATACCGTAACGTTGCAATTTGCAGAAACGGTTTATCCTAGCCATGCTACACAATCTTGGAAAAGTTTAGGAAGGCGTGTATTTGATATCTATATTCAAGTAAGGCTGCTAATGAACTATTTGAAGTAAGGGCAACCTCATTAGACAGAATTATTTAACTATCTCTTCATTTGCTTCCTAGGAGAACCTCATATGGAAGGACTTCGACATATCGAAGGAGGCAGGTGGGGTTAACAGAGCAGTTGGGAAACCCTTCAAGGTTAATGTGTCAGAGAATTACCTGGATATTCATCTGTTCTGGGCTGGTAAGGGAACATGTTGCATACCTGAACAAGGTGATTATGGCCCGCTAATATCGACTGTCCATGCTGCTTCAGGTATATAATATAATGTTACGTTATGAAGATTTCCTATGAATGGTTTAAATGTATCTTTCTGCTGCTAATTGATTGACACTGAACAATTATCAATTATTATATTTCATTGCTCAGATTTTACACCGACTGTTTCTGGGCTTCCACCGACTACTCCAGGAAAGAAGAGCAGGACTGGGTTGATAGTTGGTATTGCAGTCCCTGTTGGGGCTGTGAGCTTGCTATTATTATTTGCAGTTCTAATATATGAGGAGAAAAAAACCAGAAAAA